GAAAATTCATGTAACTCTGCCATAAACCATTTTATTTAAGCTTCTCCACGTTCAAGAGTAAATCTCGATTTTGAATCATCATACAAGCAATGTATATAAAAAGCTATACAACATGGTATATGGTTAGATCTTCTTTCAATAGGTGGTTCGATACTGCACTCTAAATCAGCATAAATTACAAAAGGTACTTTGTCTTCATACATAAAATTTTTAAATTTCATTTTTAAATTCTCTTCTTGAGGGAATGAAATTTGAACGATCATTGAAATTAATACAATCTTGAATATGTTTATCATAGGATTCTATTGTGTGAAAGTGATTTTAACAGCGATCAACAAGATTTATACTTATATTATAATTCGATAGTTGACTCGATACTAAACGTGAAAGAGATTCAATAAGTGAGTAATGGTGAACTGGTTTCTTATTTTCATCTACTCCTATCTCAGAGATCAAAAGATGAATACGATTTTTATTGATATCATAATATTCACTTAAATAAACCGGCGCAGTGTCATTATCATCATCTAAACCGTGAACATTAATGATAAAATTATTGAATTTCTCAAATTTACAAATATCACTCAATGGTGTTGTAAATGAGATTCCTGTTATTTTTAAAGTATGAAAATGCTCTTTATAGTTCGTTATACGATTAGCTGATCGTGCATCTTATGCATGATGTATCGAAACGAGAACTGACCAGAGAAAACAGTATTCATTTTTTTCTTTCCTCATGTTTAAAACACCTTTTTTTTATCGAAATAGAGAGATTACAATATGTACTAATTTTTTTTTTACTCTTCTTTATATATCCTGATCCTTTCAAAGGTGTATACTTGAAACTTTTCTGTATGTTTCAATAAACGCGGTATAGTATAATTTGAAAAAGGATCTAATAAGTCCATTGAAATAAGTACTTGTATGTTTTTTGTATTGAAATGCTTTTTTTCATACACTATCAAATCTTGTTTTATATTTTCAAATGTGCAAGCTAATTCAAAATTTACAAGCAAATTGGTTTTTGATGATTGATCTATTTAAGATCGATAGATACTGCTGCTGCTGATGATCATGTTGAAGGTACCGCCACCGATGACAATGGTGTCGATGATGATGCTGCTGAAGTCGATGACGTTGCTCTCAAGGATGATGTTCTTGAGGGTATTGTTATTGCTGTAGAAGATGTATTATTTACCGCACCACCACTCACAAGTTTTTTTAGTTCCCCATCCAATGCATCGGCTTCTCCGATGGGGAATCATTAGAAAGTGCGTCAACGCTTCCTCCTAAAATGCATGGGTTGCGGGAAAATGAAAATCTCTTGTTGAAGAAGCCGTAAATTTTAAAAGTAGTAGGGATAACAGTTGATAACTTCAGATAGAAAATCATTAGAAGTGCGTCAACGCCTCTCTAAATGCGCGGGAGAAGGAAAAGTTGAAAACTTTAGTTAGCAAAGAGAGGGTAAATTTAGAAAAAAAATTGGGGAACAAAATTGATGTGAAAAGTGCTATAAAAGCTAAGATTTTGCGGATAGAAAATCACTCTCAAACGAAAAGTTGTTGGATATTTTAGAACCTTTGTAAGCTGAAGAATATCTTTTTCTTCGTGAATAACTATGTACCAATCAGAATTCAACAAACCCAGGCAAAAAAATCTTCGAAACGAAGAAAATGAAGGATCTGTAATTATCTAAAAGATATAAAGTGACGAAGCAAAATTTGATTGCAACCAAGTACGGTGATGCTACTGCGGCAACTCTGGACGACGAGTTTAAAGGTTTTCTTCCAAAGAGAATTGTCAACGTATTGGAGGCAAACAATAAAAAAAAATTGCTTAATTTCCAAAAGACATGCATGGATCATCATTTATACATGGAATATTATGGGACTGGATGTAACTCATTTGAATTATTTCTATTCAAATAGAACCATTGCATCTGTATAGCGACTCCGGCACAATCATATGGAAACATAAATTCTTTAAAGTGTAGATGTTTTTAACTATATTTATAGTTAACTTGGAGCAAATGATACATATTGTAAAATATTTGTATGTCGCCATCCAATGACTATTAGACTAAAGACAGTTTGTTAGTTAACGACGATTGCTTGACGATTAGATTGTTTATAGCAACGAGGGGAGAGTTTGTTTATCTCCAGTTTTGACTGAGACTTTAGTTGAATGCACGTATTCTTTCAATTCAATTAATTGCTATAAATCTTTAATGAACTTTTTATTGATTAATTTATTTCCTAAAGTTGTTGTTTGGTCTTATTTTACAATACTTCGTTCACTGAAGATATTCACTCGATGTTTTTATCATATGTACAAACATTCAAGTATGTGCGCCGATGTTATGCTCGATGTTCCATAGCCACAAATTGAAATATCAATTATTACTTGATTTGATATTGAAAATTTTAGGAAAAGATCTTTTTGTAAACCATCAGCAACATAAATATATGTTGCATTTTTCAATGGATTCGTTACAATTCGTTTAGATGATCATATGAAACTTCTCTACATCCCCAATAAATTCCGTGAATAGCATAAGTATCCCATCAAATTTGATTTTGATAATTACACTCTAAAGACGCAAAACTTTTTGGAGGTTGAAACAACACAGTACGTTGTAACGATTTATCTTGAAAATTATTTAAAGAGGTGATAGAAAATTCTTCAACAACAAACTCACTATTTATAAAGTGTGATGTGAAACTATGTAATGTGATTATCGATATTACGTGGACAAAGTTACGAGAATCAGCTGATTGTAAAATAAGTCTAAATCGTAACTCGGAGGTGAATAAGAAAGAAATAGAAACGTTTTATTAAATCAATCGGCAAATCTTTGTGATAGGAAAAACTTCGGGTTAGCTCAAGTCTCAGTCAGAAAGTAAACATAAACAAATCGGTCAATTGTTGCTAACAACAAATTCAGTCGTTTGTCAATTATTATATAATTGTAGACATATACTTATTTTATAATATTTATGTTGAGGTAGAAAAATCAAATCAAATTGGAGGAAGTAGAGAAAAACAGTTACAGATGGACAAAATTCGATAAATTTAAGCTTGACAGAGAAACAAAGTATTAGATCCGAAATGAAGGAAGAAATCCGACTAACTTTGGAGTAAAACAGATACAATCATCAATTTGAGCTTTTTCAAGCTAAAAGCTTAAAAGCTGTTGACTTTTTTAATCCTGAGTTTTGACATATCTCTACGTTTTAAGGGTCCGAAAGTCGAATAGGTCTAAAACAGAAATACAAGCGCTCAGGTATATAACCATTCACCAGAGAATATCTACTTGGATAGTGAAGGGAAAAAAGCGGTATCTAATTTTGGCTACTTCCGTAGGAGATCCTGTAGTTCTTGATGACTGTACATAACCACATTCGACCATCTTTACATTAATCACTCGAAATCTCGGTTATAAAAAGAGTCGATTCTGAATTTTATTCCTGATTCTTATGCGACCAGTGTTAGCAATTTTGAGCAACCATTTTTATTTGAAATTTTATTTAAATGATTATCCTATTTTTCTAGATGTCATTATGCAGTCATTGCAGTCCCTCCGTTACATTCAAGTAAAATCATAATAGAGTCACAAGATATTCCTGAATTATTATTGAAAACAATTAAATCTCAATTTCATTACTATTCTGAAGATATTACATATTTTGAAACTACTTTATGGTCTCCATTTTGGTTCTCCCAATATTCTGGGAATATCATAACAAATTTGGATAAAAATGTCAATTTAAAAATCGCGTACGAAACTTCAAGAGAACAAATGAAAAAAAATGCTCTTGCTGGATTCATTCACGAGAGTAGATATTCATTCAGCGGTCCTGTCAATATATTTCGGGCTGTTAATCTTTCATTCAAGAGTCAAAAAGCTGTTAATTATATTGATTATTATGAACAATCAGGGCAAAGTTTTATGAATGTTCTCAAACCTTGTTTTGTTGGATTTCATATTAATCCCCTATTGAACCGTCATCACAGGTAAATACAATAAATTAAGAGAAAAAAAAAATTAAGTTAACAGAAATCTTGAAAAACTCGGTAGTCTCTCCTGCGCCGAGTGTTAATTAGAAAGACGTACAATGTACCAAACCGCACGAGAAAAGTGCGTGAAATTCGTTTTTTCATTAAAAACTATAAACAATGAAAGAAATGTAAAAAAATATTCTACAATTACTAATAAGTAACAATAAAAAAAAATTTTTGAGAACATAAATCAGCGACAGCTGGTTTGTAATAATCATGGAGTAATTGTAAAAAAATACATTACGTAAATAAAATTGTCAATAACAAAAAAATTGTTTGAAAAACAATAAAAATAAAATTTTATAATTTTCCCGGATGCATCATTAGAAAGAACATCGTTTATTATTAAAAAAAAAATTGTTCAATAGCTATAATTGTTATTGGAACTATTTTTTTATGAACAATTAAAAATTAACATACTAAAAATGAATTTCTAATAAATTCAACATTCTGTTGAAAATTGCTTACAGAAAACCTACAAATTAAATAAAAAAAAATTTTAAGTAATTAAAAATTATGCATTTGTTTATAAAATTTATCTATAACAAATGCTGAAAAAAATTTTTTAAAAAATTAGTTCATACTCTTCACATGAAAATTTAAAACTTTACTGTACATAATTTTCATATTAAAAAATAACTTCACCCCCAAAATAAGGGTGAAAGAATCCGAAAACAACATTTCGATTTTCTACGGTCCAACCTCGGCGTCTGGGTTCCAGATGTTCGGGTTATGCCTATGTTCACATGGCCTCCAATCGCCGGGAAAAACCCCTTGTAAGCCGACCCAAGTCTTCCTGAGGACGTTCTTTACATTTTTGTTTTTTATTTATACTACATAAGGCTAATTTCTCATGTACGATTATATAAGAAAATGTTTTTCCGAAGAAGATAGGATATTCTGAACTCGATTATTGATTATAAAAGTTTCGATTTTTTCAGTTCCCGAGTTTATTTTGCATCAAGTGAATATGCAAAAAATTACCCTGGTACAGCTGATGGTGCTATTGAAGCTGGAGAACGTGCGGCATGTCTTGTCCTTCATCATGCTAGACCTCAAGCACTGGATGCTGCTGAAATGGCTGAATTTTTGTAATAATTAAATTAAATTAGATTTTGAAAGAAAAAAGATTCGGTGGAATCCGATATATTCTATTCATAACATTCACTTTTTTGAAAACGATCGAAAATAATTGATTATGTTTATTATTTTAGGCCGAGAAAAATTCCGAAATGGACTGAAGACACAAAGAAACTTGATTGGGCACACAATATTTGCATTGTTTCAAATTTTATTATTCTAATAACTCTATTCCATCAATTGTATACTTTTAACCATAAATAAATTCTTTCTTCTAAATTCAATTATTTGCAGCATAAAACCGTTACTAATATCTCACTGAGATTGCAACATGATTTGTGTGATCGAAGTTTTATTGAGGATGAAGCTTAACATGTAGTTAATGGCGAACTCTAAGAATTAAGGGCGTATAATTCAATCTGGGGCGTATGAAGTCACTTTTTCAAATGGGCCTGAATGCATTTAATCGAGTTGACAATGCCGTTGCCAACTGTGATTAAAGTATGATGACTTATCTGAGGAATTGTGTCTACAAACTGTTTCTCCTCTTGAATGATTTGAAGTAACTATTTAAAAATTAAATAATTGACAAAATATTAATATTAGAAATTTTAAACGGGGAAAAATGTTAATGATTAGGGCAGTGATTCTCAGTAATCTATTGAGTGTTAAATATCTGTTGACCAAGTCCGATTGAATTATTGAATCGTGAATGGCTGCTATGAGTGAAATTTCAGGACGAGCTTCTAAATTACAAGTCTCGTCGTCTGGTGGTGATTTTACTGGCCAGTTTTCTTGAGTTTCAGCTAACCAGGTGGGTCCCCTCCACCATAGCAAGTAATCTTCTAATTGATTGGCTGTCATGCCTCTTAGGGCGCAGTCTGCTAGATTTTTCTTGCCAGAGATGTGTCTCCAGTGCTCATCTGGAACTAGATCTTGAATCTGATGGACTCTGTTTCTCACAAAGTCCTCCCAGCGTCCTGTGTTTGAAGTGATCCATGACAGTGTTACTGATGAATTCGTCCACAAATAAATTGAATGTATGTTCACTCCGTGAAGTGTAGCTCAAACATACTCCGTGAGTTTCGCTAGAATTCACGAAGCTGTTAACTTCAGCCTGGGGATCGTAATTTGTTTGATTGGTGCTACTTTAGTTTTTGCAGAGATGAGTGTATTTTTAGGCCCTGTGTCTTGTAGCATCAATTCATCGTGGAATTGAGATCTCATGTAGTTTAGTGAATTCTTCTCTGATGATCAGCCAGCGATTGATGCTTGATTGTGGGACTGGTTCGTCCCAGCTAAGGTTGTGAAGCCAGAGCTCCGGAAGAAGCATCTTTGCTCTGTTTGGGATAGGTGCTAAAAACCCAAAGGATCATAGATTTGAGCTACTTCTTAAAGAATGAGGCGTTTTGATTATGTTGATTCATGAATGTCTGATTTTGATGAGAATGTGAATGTGTCTAAACTTGGATTTCATTGAAGTCCAAGAATTTTTGCATTGCAGTCTTTGAAGGTGATTTTGTCTTGGTTGAATGATGATTGTGACGTTTTTTGAAGAAGTGATTGACTATTGCCATTTTGCAAGGGGGAAGCCGCCCGCATATCTAGTTGAATTTTTGCTTCAGTATGAGTAATGTCATTCAATGAGACTCCAGTTGAACACGGGCTAGATCCATTGCAGATGACTCTAAGCTTGGTGGTAGTGCTACTTGGTCTTAAAACCCCATGAAGAGAAAGAAAGTATGGGTGAATGTCTTGAGATTCTCGATTGATTGTTGAAGCAGGTCTCATGTAACCGAGTTCTTCGTATTCTGTCATGAATTGTCTATAGAGATTGCTGTATTCAGACTCATTGGTTAATCTCCTCAACTGACGTTTTAAGCATCGATACGCAGTTGTATAGGAGTCTCCAGAAGCTGCAGGTAAAGAGATAAGTGGAATTCTGACAATGTATCGTCCTGATAAATGTCTAGAGTGAGTTGATTTGAAGAAATCTTCACATTGTTGGTACAAGGATGATAATTGATGTTGATTTGATATAAAAACTTCTTCTTGGACCCAGAATTTTGTTAGCAACTCTCGAATGTCTTCATGGTTCTTGATTTGAGGTAGCATGATGAATATGAGAGTGATTGACTAATGAATTTGGTGCTACTGGACCAAGAATTAGCCAACCAACGATAGAAAGTTGAGCTCTACGAGCTGTTGGAGAGTGAGGTATGATATGTTGTTTAATGATTTGTTTATAAAAATCAGCTTTAAGTAGAATGTCTATTGATTGTGGAATATTGAATGTTGGATCAGCTAGTGTTAATCCATTGAGATGAGGCCAATAATTGTTGGGATAATTACATGGCACTTTTGGAATTAAAGCTGTCAACTGTTTCATTATGTGAGCTCGAATGTATACTGAATGATTGGATGATAATTATTGTAGCTCGCAGAATATTACACCTTTTGTTCAAGTGAGTTTGAAGCTTCCCACTCCTTTCATGTGATTGTCTAATGGTGTTTTTTCATCCAGGATCTATGGAGCACTCGTGCTATGTCACTCCCAGAAGGTGAATTTGCGTTGACTTTTGCTGTTACTAACAGTGTTGAATGATCATCTTGTAAATGACTCGGAATGGTTTGACTTGAGCAGATTGCTCCAATCGATGATTGTCTATTGAGTTGAATTGATTTAACGTCACTTGATTGTTGATTTTGTGTGCTATTAGCACAACTAGTTGAATGTTTATTGATTGCTTTATGGTCATTCTGACCTTTCGATTGTTCTAGATGATTGTGCTGCTTCTGAAATTGTCCTTTGGACCATTCCAACTGAACCCTTAACCCTCCTGAGGCCGAAACCTTATGTGCTAAGGTCATTTAGTCAGTCTGACCCTCCAGAGCAAGTCCATCAGCAAGCGTGAGTGTCTGTGGTGAAGATGATGATTGTTCTTCAAATACTGCTTCGTCTTCTCACTGTTGTGAAGTTGAAGGTTGATTGTCTGACGATGATTGTTGAAATATAGACGGTCTGGATAATAGTTGTGACCTGAAAGACGCCTGATTGCCACTTGATGACTGTCTGAAGAGAAGTGAATAGAACATCGTATGATGCTTGGAGTTGCACTCCTTGCATCTGTTCTTGTTTGGGCAGGCTGGTGTGTTGCGTCTTCCGAGAAAATTTCTGCATAATTTTTTATGGTCTACAATTCTTAGACGTGTCTCCAATGGCAATGCCTTGTATTCAGGGCAGACTATGATGAAGAGACCACTATTGTAGCAGTCACAAATGCATCTACGCTCACTAGCTGTAGTGTGTGATAAGCGTTTAACCTGGAAATTTGTGATCTGACTTTGAAGACCAATAGACCGGGTAAACCTTGATTGAGTGAGGCACCAACCTGAATGATACTTTCGGTAGTTGATCTTCTACCTGGCTGAGCTAATGAATCATTGATTTGCTCGGTTAGATTGCCAAACTCCTCCCGACTATCATCAGGACTAACGCTGATTGTTGGTTGATTCGGCAAGATCTTGATCTTCTTATGGTCACCATCCGATTGACGTTCAGCTATTTGGATTGTCGTGATAACTTAATCACGTGATTGTCTAAATGAAATTAGGATCACTTGATTAATGTCTAAATGAGTACACTGACAGCACCAAAAATTGGACCAATAAAATGCGAACAAAAGATCAACTATGAATTAGTCTAACCGTTGAAGGATAGGAAAGATTGCGCCGGAACAGAGCAAACGGAAGTCAGGTTTTATAAAAAATATAATAATCTTTATATTTTATAATATTACATGATATAATAATCTTCAATAATTAGCACCAACAGATACACAATACTGTACAACACTCGATTTACTGAACGGAAGAATGGACGTCACCTAAAGAGTTATGAATGTTTCTAAAATTATTACTTAAGAATCACTAAATGTCTGTAAAATTACTCGATTTGGTGTGTTCGATATTATTAACCGTTCCCACGAGGCCAACACGCTTCTCAAGTCAAGTCGAATAATAATTCTGCGCGTGGCGTTAGCCTATCGAGCAATGCAATATGAATTGAATTTATTTAAATATATTTATCGTGAATTGTCTCAAAATACCACTAGTTTTGGTTATAGAATAAGAATAAGAATGATCTTGTAGGTTCAGAAATGAACTACAACTAATGATTGACTCACACAATAGTCTTGTAGCCGTAAGTTTAAGCCCTATGCTATCGTGCATTAATTATAGAATAATAATATAAATTTTTTGGTTACATATTCTTGATGATGATTAGGAGAGTATTTGTGCAAATTTTGATTACTCGGAAACTAAAATTACTATTGTTTATCGAGAGTCAAAGTTTGGCAAATTGCGTTTTTCTACCTTTCTCCGCTTACGTAGCGAGAACGATAAGAAATGTAAAAAAAAAGTTAATATCTTTTTTTGTAGAGAATCGAATTTTTCGAGTCTTTTAATATCTGAAGCGTCTTTTTTTTAAAATCTTTTTCGTAAACTTTGCACCTTTATATTTTTTTTTCGTTTATGGGCACATTTTATAGCCAATTTAGGAGCAAATAGGATTTTTCTCGCTCTATAAAATGGCTATTTCAGTTTTTTAAAAAAATTTTTGGTTGATACCGTAGAAAATCGAAATGTTGTTTTCGGATTCTTTCACCCTTATTTTGGAGGTGAAATTATTTTTTAATATGAAAATTATGTACAGTAAAGTTTTAAATTTTCATGTGAAGAGTATGAACTAATTTTTTAAAAAATTTTTTTCAGCATTTGTTATAGATAAATTTTATAAACAAATGCATAACTTTTAATTACTTAAAATTTTTTTTTATTTAATTTGTAGGTTTTCTGTAAGCAATTTTCAACAGAATGTTGAATTTATTAGAAATTCATTTTTAGTATGTTAATTTTTAATTGTTCATAAAAAAATAGTTCCAATAACAATTATAGCTATTGAACAATTTTTTTTTTAATAATAAACGATGTTCTTTCTAATGATGCATCCGGGAAAATTATAAAATTTTATTTTTATTGTTTTTCAAACAATTTTTTTGTTATTGACAATTTTATTTACGTAATGTATTTTTTTACAATTACTCCATGATTATTACAAACCAGCTGTCGCTGATTTATGTTCTCAAAAATTTTTTTTTATTGTTACTTATTAGTAATTGTAGAATATTTTTTTACATTTCTTTCATTGTTTATAGTTTTTAATGAAAAAACGAATTTCACGCACTTTTCTCGTGCGGTGTGGTACATTGTAGGTCTCTTTTGAACAATTTTTATCCAATCTAGAGTATTTTTAGGTTTTTCGAATATTTTATTTCACGCGTTGCAACAGTAATCGCTCACGTGACCTCTTACATTAGAAGGAGCCTTTACAATTGAAATAATGGCGACAGGAATTTTGTTGATCAAGATGGACACTGAAAATTAGTCAAATGAGTGACGAGAATCAGAAATATTGGTTATTTGGTCGATTGGTTATTGACCTAGTGCCAAGATGGCCGCTGAAGTTCCTATCAGCTGATAGTTCAAACTTGAGGGTTGATTTATTCTCATAGACACTATTTTATACATGACATGGCATTCTTTGTAATTTTAAACTTTTTTGGTGGTTCAAAATTCTTTTGAATTATAATTTAAAAATAAAAATTTCGTTATTTGACATACGTGTACATCGCGTGACGTTTTAATATCATCCCAAGATGGCAGTTTTAGTAGGACTTCGATCATTTTCGTAATTTTATTTATTTCTAGAATCTGTTCATAACTTTGTCTACATTAGTGTTCAGTACCAGACATATATATCATTCTGAGAAACTGAAAAAATTGTTGCTTGTTGTCGATACATTGCGGGAAAAATCAATTAATTGTAACTTATAACCATTAGCTATACTACGTCTAACGATATGAATAATTTACTTACGGCCAGTGAATTTATGTAATGTCTTTATATATGACGGTCTAAGCTTGTCATAAATGTATGTATCAGCTGTTTTTCTGAAATAGACAGACGTAAGATTTTTGTTAAGAAATTTAATATCAGTTACAAATAGCAATCTGACTGACATTGAGGAAAAAAAGACGTACGTAATCCTGATGAAAACTGTCACATCAGGACCTGCTACTAAGACAATAGCTAATCACTATTATTTTACTCAATTTATTCAGTAATTTAATATCTAGACAGTTGTAATATTTTTTATTCATTACGATATACAGATCGAAGGAAGAAATTCTGTCTTAGACGGCTTTGATCATCTTTTAATTTGATAAAAAATTACAGATACTAGTTATTAGAATATTATAAAATATATGTTTGTCTATCTATCGATGGATTGACAAATGACAGAATTTGTTGTTAGTAACGCGCGACTGGTTTCTTCATTTTAGTTTAGGACTGAGCTTAGGTCAGATTAGACATCATATTTAAGATTCTGTATTTGGATCTATTATTTCAATAAACTTTTCTTTACTATCTTTGTTGTACTCTGCTCATACTTCACGAAATATATTGTAAAATATAAGTAGAAGACAATAATTATTAAAAGAAAAGTTTATTTAAATGACAGATTCGAAAATATGACGTTTAATCAGTGCTACTCTCAGTCCTAAACTGGAGATAAACAAACTTTTTCCTCGTTGCTATAAACAAGCTAATCGTCAAGTAATTATCGTTAACTAATAATCTGTCGTTAGTTAATGATATCATAGATGGAGACATTCACGTATTTTACACTTCTCCTGATCTTCTAAAAGTTGTCTCCTGGCAATTTCAAACAGCTAGGAAAAATATTGGATTAGTCTGAAATGAATAAACATGCAAAATCTTAAATTGAACTTCTTATTTAAAATTACGAAAATTAATTAAGTTATCATTCAGCCTAGATTCCAATATCTACCTGCTTCCCAACTCAACCTGTTTAAAAGAGAATTCTGGATTCTCTGGATATTCTGGAAAGAAAAATCCTACGGCCGGTAAAAACCTTTAAAACAGACCAAAAAAAAAAATTTAAACTAACTAATAATATGACTCTATACAATTCAAAATCTTAAAAACTGAAAGTTCGTCAGTGGAAATTTTAATTCTCAGTTGAAGT